AAAAAAAAAAAAAAAAAAAGGCATTTGTTAATGCTTAGATGAAAATGGCAGTGTGTTACCACAGATTCTTAGTTATAGCCTAAGTGACAAAAACTCAGGCATATAAGCAGAAGAACATCCTAGACCACATTTATTGTATACTGAATATTTTAGATTTTCTCTAATCTGTAGTTCACTGAAGGTAATGAAGTCCTATAACTATCACTCACTAAAGCTGGCTTTTAGAGATAAAGGGACTGTCAGGGTATCATGGAAATAGATTCCAATTTTTTCTGTAATTCTAGAGATATATCCTTTGCATGTGACACGAGTATTTGTTTCAAACACTTGACTATAGATACACGTTAGCAATGTGTGAAAGTTCTAGTTGTTCCACATCCTTTGCCAATATTTAGCATGATCACTTTTTATTTTTAACATGCTAGTTGGTGTGTAGTAATATCTCTTTGGGATTTTAATTTGGATTTCTCTGGTAACTAATTATTTCTTGAGCATTTTTTTTTCCCTGAGACAGAGTCTTGCTCTGGCTCTGTCACCCAAGCTGGAGTGCAGTGGTGTGATCATAGCTTACTGTAAGCTTGAACTCCTGGACTCAAGTGATTCTCCCACCTCAGCTTCCTGAGTAACTAGGACTATAGGTGCATGCCACCATATTTGGCTAATTTTTAAAATGTTTTTGTAGAGACAAGGTCTCACTACATTGCCCAGCCTGGTCTCAAACTCTGGGGCTCAAGCGATTCTCCCTCCTTGGCCTTCCAAAGCGCTGGGATTACAGGTATAAGCCACCATGCCCAGCCAATCTTAAACATCTTTTCAAGTGCTTATTTAATATTCACATCTTCTTTGCTAAAGTATCTGTTCAAATCTTTTGCCCACTTTTTTAATCATCAGGTTGCTTTTGTCTTCTTATCGATTTATAAGAGCTATTTACAAGTTTCTGGGTACAAATTCTTAATTAGATAAATAGTTCTCAAATATTTTCTCTCAGTCTAGCTTACCTTTCATCCTCATAGCAAGCTCTTCTGAAGAGCAAAATTATTTCAATTAAGTCCAATTTACCATTTTTTCTTTAGTTATTCATGCTTTTTGTGTCCTTAGAAACCTTTGCCTGCCCCCAAGTTGTGAGAATTTTCTGCTTTTGTCCACATTTTATATTTTTCACTGTTACATTTAAGTCTATGAACTATTTCAAGTTAGTTTTTGTATACTGTATAAGGGTTTGGATTCATATTTTGCATATAGATATCCACTTTTTCTAGCATTATTTGTTGAAAATATCTTTTCCTCCACAGAATGACAATGGCATCTTTGTAGACAATCAACAATGATATATGTATGAGTCTATTTCTGGGCTCTCACTTTTATTTCCTTAATAGGTAAGTCTACAAGGCCGGGTGTGGTGGCTCATGCCTGTAATCCCAGCACTTTGGGAGGCCAAGGTGGGAGGATCACCTGAGATCAGGAGTTCAAGACCAGCCTGGCCAACATGGTGAAACCCCATCTCTACTAAAAATACAAAAATTATCCAGGCATGGTGGCGGGTGCTTGTAATCCCAACTACTCGGGAGGCTGAGACAGAAGAATCACTTGAAACCGGGAGGTGGACGTTGCACTGAGTCGAGACCATACCATTGCACTCCAGCCTGGGCAACAAGAGTGAAATTCTGTCACCAAAAAAAAAAAAAAAAAAGAATCTGTAAGTCTATACCTACACCAATGCCACGCTTTCTTGATTTCTGTATAAGTACTAAAATCAGGCAACATAGTCCTACGGTTTTATCCTTTTTTCCCCAAAAGTTTCAATTATCCTAGGCCCTTTGTATTCCATGTAAGTTAGAATCAGAAATATCTGCTGGGATTTTGCTTGAGAATTCCATGAATCTAGAGATGAATTTGAAAGTGACATTCTTACAATGTTGAGTCTTATAATCCAGAGTATTATATATATCATCAATTTATTTTCTTTTAATTTCTGTTGTGTGTGTGTGTGTGTGTGTGTGTGTGTGTGTGTGTTACAGGATCTCCCTGTTGCCCAGGCTGGAGTGCAATAGCAGAATCATAACTCACTGCAGCCTTGACCTCCCAGGCTCAAGCAATCCTCTCAAGTAGCTGAGACTATAGGTGTGAATCATTACACCTGGCTAGTTTTTAAATTTTTGTAGCTACAGGGTCTTTCTATGTTGCCCAGGCTGGTCTTGAACTCCTAGATTCAAGTGGTCCTCCTGCCTCGGCCTCCCAAAGTGCTGGATTATAGGCATGAGTCACTACACCTAGCCTCTTATCTTTTTTCCAGTCTCAAGGGGAAAACATTAAGTCTTTCGCCATTAAGTGTGCTACTTGTAGTATTTTGTAGAGGTCCTATCACATTAAGGAAGTTTCCTTCTGTTCCTAGTTTACCATGAGTTTACAGATGTATGTTGAATTATGTCAAATGCTTTTCCTGCATCTATTGAAATTATCATATTGTTCTTCTTTTCTAGACTGTACATATGATGAATTTTCTAATGTTAAACCTATCTTGCATTCCTGGGATACATGCCACTTGGTCATAATGTATTCTTTTCCATATGCTGAATTAGATTTGTTAATATTTTCTAATGCTAAATTAGATTTGTTAATTTTTTTTTAAGGATTTTTACATCTATGTTCTAGAGCTATTAGCCAACAGTTTCTCGTAATGTTGTTTCTGGGTTCTGATGTCGGTGTAATGCTGGCCTTACACGTTGGGAAGTGTTTATCCCACTTCTATTTCCTGGAATAATTTATGTGAAATTATTGGTTTGTTTCCTGAAATGTTTGGCAGAATTTGCCAATGAAACCATTAAGGCCTGGAATTTCCTAAGCTAAGGTTTTGTTTTGCGTCTTTGCATTGTTTTTTGTTTGTTTGTTGTTGTTTTTTAAGAGGTGGGTTCTTGCTATGTTGCCCAGG